AAGGATTTTAAGCCGAAAGTAATTAGTTCGGACGGACGAGGTGTCACTTTATGAAAGCGGGGAGACAGAGAGTCAGTCTTCATTGTCCTCGGCATTAATCCTTCGGGGACGTTCATAAGTTTTTGACTTGCCGTCTCGTCACGTTAAAAGCTCCCGGCATAAATTCTGAAAGGAGTAATTTTTAAGCGATCTTAAGTGTATAATCCGGATTTATTGCAAATACGTTTCTAAAGGCGTAATAATTGTAACAGAAAACTCAAGGAGAAGTTGTGCAGAAACGGCAAAAAAAAAAAGATTTATACGTATAATCGTGTTTTTACTTAAAAAGAAAACAATCATACTTTGTCATTTTTTTCTCATTAATATCTGCGATTTACACAATAGGAAATGGAGTTTTCGTCATTCTGTCTAAATTGTAATCTTCCCCGAGTCTCCGTCGGTGATTTATCTTAGCCACAGTTCCGCGGAAAAATATCGTTTCAAGAAAACGGGATTTAAAGTTTGGAGTTTATCTAAGACACCGGCGCAGGCAGTCGTAACTTTTCCGTCCTTCAAGTTTTAAAATACGTAACAAGGATACAACTACAATATTACGGAGAATAACAAATGTATTTCCTAAATTTTTCAAATGGATTTTCATAGACATTCGATATCACGGTGATTATCTTTTACAACAAATTTATAATAATTTATCACATTTTATTACTTTTATGTTATAAGTAATATAACCTTGAGGTACATACATAAAAGTCTAACAATCTGAAAAGTACTTTATCTTCGAGATCTGCTCATAAATCGGCTAACTGCTTCGAATTGCCCATCGAACTCGAAAGGATTTAGCAGACACGATCTTTTAGCAATCCCATCGCCGGAACGTGACTCGATAATCTTATTTAGCCGACCACGGGAAGATCGATTGCTCGTGAAAATCTCCGGAGTTGGACACCCTCTTTAGTTACTACGTAGGCGCAGTTAGTTAATTAAAAGGTAAAGAGACGACGCGAGAGACGATGGAGGAGGAAAAGAGAGAAGGATACAAGGACAACAGATAACGGGAGGAAGAGATAGACAGAAAGAAAGAGAAGGGAATATGATGGGAGAGACAGAAAAGAGGGGACGGAAAGAGAGAAAATGATGAAAGGCATTGGGATTTGCAGCTCCATCGGAGAGAACAACCCTTTCTTGCTTCGCCAAGAATGCTCTAGGGGTGCTTTCGATCGGGTAAACATTTAGGCCGTTTTTATCAGCTATGTACACGTAGAATTATCTACTTTTCTTTCTTTCGTTGTCATTATATTCTACCTTGTTAGTCAGTCGATTTCAATGAGCGAATATCATTACGTAAAATACAATATTGAATTCGGCGTGATTTTTTAAAGTGATACCTTTGACTATCACCTTTTTAAAAGCCCACAGTCGAGAATCGCTATCGATCGGCCGGCTAAATATTCAATTTTTTGGAGACAAAGCTATATACATACAATTCCGCAACGAGAAAGAGAGCGCGAGATTTCAGTTATACTCCGTGGAGCAGGTAATCAAATCAAAATGGTGTGGCGCAATCAGATCTCTCCTGCAGATCTCCACCCCTTTCCTCCTCCCCTGTAAGATCGAACGGAAAGGCGGAAAGTAAGAAAATATAAATCAGTGGGGTGGATTTAATAATTCACCGAGGCGAACATTGCGCCCCCCTTTTCCCGAAAGCACAATCGAACCATTTAACCGTGAAACATTGTACATTTTGCGCCACCCCCGTCCTCCCGCCGAGAAAAGGGTGCGCCAGTATTCGCCATCCCCATGGATACTCGACCATCCGATTATCCTGTTACAACGAAAAACTTTCTCTCAAGCTTTCCAAGGCTACACGGCACAGGAGGTTTAATAATTTTAGAGAAGAGAAAAAGCGAGACGCGTTTTTTTTTTTAAGAAGAAATATATATTCTTCTTAGCAAAATAAATATCGCAAGATCGATGTTGCGGCATTAAAAAAAATAACCATGTGGATTTTCTTTTAATTGACTATTATTCCTTTAATGAACGTAAGTCTCTTTTGGGCTTGCCTTTAATTAAACGATGATATCGCGACGCCCCGTACATCTCCTACGACGAATGAAGATAGGACCGATCATCAATACGTCGTAATGCCCTTTTCACCGCAGCCGCCTGTTATGGAATTCCTAATGACGATGGGGCAACGTTAGAAGCGGCTGTAATAACAGCCGCCGGCTGCTGGAGCTCGATAGATAACGCGGAAAAATATTCAGCGATAAAACACGCGTCACTCACGTAGCGGGCTGATAAAAGAAAAATAACAAGTCCCTTTTATATTCCGTTCCCTCCCGCGACTGCGTAATATTGTACGTCCAGTTAATAGAGTGGGTTTTTATTCGATAAATATTAGAGAATTGTTGGCCGAAGATGACGGAAAGAAAAACCTTATTAATTCTAAACAAGAAAAAAAGAATGCATATCATCGGAATCGATTACGAGCCATCGCTGTGATCAGCGAGAGGCTGCCGACTGCTTCGGTAACATTTACATAATCGTATTTCGCCGGATCCTTTCGCAAGGTCATTTAATTATCCCGCCGATGACTCGCCTCCGGGCGAGTTATATGCGCCGGGTGAGCGTAAGAAGTGGAACGGAAAAAAAAAATCGATTCCAGACGCGGTTGCAATTTACGAGGTACATTTGTATACTCGCATAGAAAATCGAGGATCGATCTTTGGTACGCCGACGAAATATGGAACGACGTGGCGATGGTATCATCCGAGTTCCCGTAGCACGCATAAAATTACGTCAGCAGTTTAAGATGCTAATATTGTACATCTCGAAAGGATAATTTTTGAACCGAGTCGCTCGTACATAAATTTTCAACGCGACTGGTCATTAAAATGTATTCTTGGATTTGTGAAAAAATCCAATTTGTGACTTGATCGACATGAGGCCAATCGGAATAAGGCCAATACGAAGAAATAGGTCTTCGAATTCAAAGCCCACTCTAATAACTCAGAATAAGAAAAGTACTTTGATTGCATCGTCCATACAATTATAACGATTATTACAATCTATATAAAAAAAAGTCGCTCTCCAACTGCAATCAGCGTCTGCCGCGAAAATCCAGCTTCGTTCACCGTTCGTCATCGCTCTCTTGCGAAATTTTGAATATTGCATGACAAGGAGAAGAGGCGCTCGCTTTTTAGAATACCAAACGAACGGGGGCGTGCGGTATTATCTCTCTTTCTCTCGTGTGCCAGAGAGCGGATAAGCCGGTTTCCCTAGATGCGGGATCGATCTGCATGCAGATGCATCCCCCTCGCGCACGACACAAAGGTGGCAGACCAAAGAGTGGTCACCAGTTAACATTCGTGCCACTCTGAATATTTCATACGCGGCCGTGACAGTGCGTAGATTGCACGCACGCGAGGTGCAAACGCAACAAAGGCGAGGCAATGGCATTTTTCACGCGGAGACGCGGATGAGCGTCTTTGTGTGTGCGCGTGCATCTCCGCATAAATGCAACCGATAAAGACCTTTTGTCTCGCGCGCGCGCAACCGGGGCTTTGACCAGCGCTTCGACGTACGTCGGATGTGTTGGCAGATTGAAAACTTTTGCAATATCGACTGCCATCAGCTGCTCGTCGCTTCCTTCTTCTTGAGGATAAAGCGCGCCGTTCCGCGCGCCATATTCTTCTCCAGACGAATTTAAATGATCGTTAATTCGCTTGCTGTAAAATGACGCTGATGAGATCCTATTATATTTAATTTACAATTTAATATGATTGATTCTAACAATCTTTATTTTTAAGATTGCGAAATTTATAAAGAAAATATCTTGCTTGTTCCATTTATCTAATTATATATAAGATATGTCAATAAATCTCTGCGTATAAAAGAAATCATTGTTTTAAATATTTTTAATTTAAGAATCTTTTTATTTAAAAGAAATATTTTTATTTTAAGAATCTTTAATATTAATCCCCCAGCATACGAGCTAAAGTAAAAGAATATAATATAAAAATAGTGATAATAGTATTAGTTTTTCAGTTTAGCGTGAAAGGTTAAAGGTGGCGATAAACGCTCTTTCTGACTTTGAAGATTGACTTCCTGAGATATCGATCGACATAACAAAGAAACCTTAGCTGACAAGCCGAGTGAAAAGCGGTACCCCTCCGACGAGAGCTGTGAATCTATTTGACTTACTTATAGTCTGTCAAAGGTGTTCCGTCCCTTTACAGCTGGAAAAGAGAGAGACGATTTAAAAAAACGATGTGTTCTATCATGCTTCATAACTTAATTTCCAGCTTTTTTCAATGTCGAAAACAGACAGTTTTTTAAGAGTACGCTTTACAAATCGAAATAGTCTTTCTCTTTTTTTTTTTGCATTCAAAACATGATTAATGCCAAATTTACACAGAAATTGAAATCTTTTGTTGAGAAAAATTAACCAAAATAAAAATGTTGATGATTTATCGAAACGCTGGAACAATAATTGATAACAAAGGAGACTATAGCATCGAAAGCACAGTATGTAATCTTTGAAAAGAAGTCGAAAACTATTAAAACAAAATTTTTATTTCAAACCAACGATACGAAAATACTCCATGCGTTTTTATGTGATAGACCGTATTTTTTCGACGGGATATCATGACGAGACGCAGAGGATGCTTCGTCCATATCAATGATACGGTTTCTATGAGGTAGTTATCTATAGAAAGGAATGTCACATGCTCGAAGCTGATCACGTACTCATCTTCCCGTATTGCCTTTCTCCTCGAAAACCATCCCTTTGTCCTTTCACTCCGGTACTCTCCAGTTTCAATTAAGGGTGACGAATTCGCAAAATTGATCGTTTGAAAGAGTATATATATGTAATAATTTTATTTGTATATACTCGTAATATATATATTTAAAAAATATTTTGGGCCTTAATATCTAGCCTCGGTCATCTTTGGCGCTAAGGAAATTTGTTTAAAGGTGGCTAAAATAAATACTCTAAATATATATTCATTCCTTTATTACAAACGGTCGCACATGCGAGCAACAATTATAATTAATCCTATTTTGTAAGTGAAAACGGTAATAGTTAACAATATTATTGTGGTGCTTGTTTCGAAGTTTATTTCTCACGATTGTGCTGCGACATTTTATTCAATTAAATGCTCGTATAATTGAGCGCGAAATAATTTGAGTCAGAACACCTGAGAACAAGCACCAGAACGAATATCGCTCTACAATTTTTAATATATTAGTATATTACACAAAAAATATCGCATTAACATTAATTTTGTCAGTCATTAGATCATGTATTGCAACATCAGTGTGCATATAATTAAGCTGAGTCCAGCTTGTACAATGTATTTTTGGAACAATAAGGCACCGGGATTTCGAGAGAAAGCGATCTCTCTCGATGGTTTGTTAAAATTAGATACCTGCGTAAATTCAACTCGACTATTTATTACATGTACATGTATGTTAAAAAATATAACTGTACAAAATATAGTGTGCATTGTAGAAAGCACAGGCAATTTTCTCTCTTTACAATATTGCATGGAAGAAAAATCGAGATTTTCCTGTCATATAAAAATCCGTATCTACAAAACTTGAACGAAAACCTGAATTTAGTTGAATTTTCTGAAGGCACGAATCAATGTAAAACTCTTACAAATTATGAAAAGCATTCTATTTACGTGACGAATATCGACACAAAAACATTCAATTGATATTTTTGATACTGGGAAGATTTGCATTTTCTGCAAATAAAAATTTTGCCCTTTGAAAAACCTAAGATTTCCACAGTAAATATTTCACACTATTCCATGTGAATGATATATGACTACATATATTTATTCTATATAATAAATATCTTTTCTTGTACTAGAATAAGTTTATAAGGCACTATAAATAATTGCGTTCCCATTCGTGAAAATATTGGGAAGATTTGTTAGATGAAACGCTATGTAAACTATCTATTATATCTGTAATAATAAACAGTTATTGCAAAAAATTATTACTTTCTGAAAATACAGTTTGGAATCAAGATTTTCTAATGGCAATAGATTTGCTTATTCAATAACGAATATATCTATTTATAATTTGTTAAATCTGTATATAAATTATATCAGTTTTATTATCAACCATTGGAAGCATCTGTTATTATTGCATTCTGTTATAATGGAAAACACCATTAAATTTTAGAATAAAATATAATATCAAATATTATTCATATTCCTAAACTCTATCAAATTTTTTGTTGCTGTTTTTATTTTCTCAGATTTAGCTATTCAATATAAAGGCGATTTTTTTAGATTTGACCTGATTTTCACAAATTTAAATTTTGCCGAATTTAAAAATCGAAGCTACGAAATTTCCTATAATAAGAAAATGTAATGAAATACATTCCGTTTACAAATACTGGTTTCTCACATTCTGCTATCAGCTTTGGCAAAGTAATTAAAATCTGTGATAAAAACACTAGGACATAATACGTTTTGTTAACATAAATCATTATACACGGATTCGTTATATAATTGCTCTGTAAAGAGTAGTAGCAATCTATATTAGGAACTACGAAATAAACGAATAATATCATTATAACATTGTTGATTGTGTCACGGAGAAAACTCTCTTTTTAGAATGGAAATTTGATTTATATCTAGCATAATACAGCATGTGCGGCTGAGATTTTAGATCATTATTATTTTTATCTTATGGCAGCTTAATCAAAACAGATATTTTTACTCTGTTTTGAACTCCAGTTATTAGTGACACTTTATCACTAAAAATGATGAGAAAATATATGTAATTGTATTAGTTTTTGCAATTTAATTTCCGTTATTCTCCCGATGTCTCAATATGGCTTGCCATATCCCGAGTTCAATTCCTCCCCTAGAATTATATACAGAATATATAGAAGAAATTTATAGAAAGAATTTCTGTCTCTCTCTCTCTCTCTCTCTCCACATGCTATTATTATTAAATAATAAAGTACTATTTTTTTACCTTAAGTTTAGTCTGCGAAGATCGTCCCGTGTAACATGACGCAAAATATCTTCCAGTGTATATTCCTCATATAGAAACTAAAAATATTGAAAATCATATGTAAAACAAACTAAAATACACACAAAGTAACATCTTAATTTTATTCTTATTGCTTATTTCAGATATCTATGAAGTGTGCTTACCCTATCGATTGATGTCTCATCTATTTGAAGATTCTGTAACCAATCAATAAGAGCCGTATCTGGATGTGAAGTAGTACTGTGCGTATCGGTAATCGGTGAGGACCCTGATTGTTGAGATATATTTCCGAAAATGCAAGAGTTGTAACTGTGGATATTTAAAATATTCCTCCATATAATATTAATCAGATTTTTCATGCATTATAGCATGTGAAAAGCAGCAATAAATAAAAAATGACAATGTTTCGTACCCTGATTCTTGTCTTACTGATCTTCTGTTAATATTTTCACACAGATGGGTCAGCGTATTAACTTGGGCTCTCTGCTCTTCGAGAGCTTGTTGCAACAATGTTTGATACGATTTCTGGCTTTCTATCAATTCCTGCAGTAGCCTCATATTTTCCATTTTTAGTGCTCCCATTTGATCTCTATATTCTTTCCAATACTTATTATCAATGGAATCAGCGGTTTTTTGGGATTTCACAGAGTTTACTGTCGATACCCCAGACGTTGATCCTTCCTCGGGGCCTTGACCACCAGGTTGTCGTTCTTGTCCAAGTAGGTTGGCGCCCAATTCTAGATACACAATTTGTAACACGAATTTGAAACACACCCCATGTAATGCCGACTGTAATACTTTTTGATCACATCTGTATATATCTAATCTCTTGATTTTCAATAAAATCTGTCTAAACCAGATGTGTGCAAACTCAAGTAGAATGCAGTAATCCTCTTACTGAACGCGACACGCTCATAAGAGATCCCATATTATTAGTGATGACTTTCCCCTCGAGATATTTTTAGAGTTGACATGATAACATACTCTCAATCTCTTCACGTGTATTACATTTAAGATACATGCGTGCGTTACACATCTGGTTCATGTACCAAATAAAAAAAAAGTGAGAATCTGGCCAGTTAAGGTTATACTCTTTTTTTTTCACTCACGAGACTGAATGTTCTCATTGAATATGTCCCTCGAATATGCGACAATTTATTATACCGCTCCTATTTTCGCTTCAATGAAAAAATAATACTTACCGGGAGATAAGACGGTGATAGCAGCCTGAACAGCATTTCTCACTAAATTGTCTAAAGCAAACATCCAGTGTGGCTTTATACTGTGCATTCTGAGGACCTCGTTTACTGCCGTTTGAAATAAATAAATTGCCAAATGTAGATGATTAATAGCGGTCGAATCGAAATCCAATTCCTCTTTCAACGTTCGAATGGCGGTTACTATTACTTCCTGATTTTGCTCCGCGATGTAATCCCTCAAGCCGCGCATGAGCAACACCAAGTGACTCTAACATTGTAATAAATAGTCAGTGTGATACGTGTCGTGTACAGTTACTTGCAACGCAATATAATACTTCAGCATGTATATACCATTTGCAACATCGTTTGCCCCTCCGCCTGATGTATACCTCTCATCCAAACCTCGCAAATCTTTGCCTCATCTTGGTTGAGAACCCTCGTTAATGTCATACGTCGTTGGCTATCTTTCTTTAACAGATAAAAGCCCTCTTGCTCCTCTCCAGATTTTTGTCCTGGTTGCCCTGTTTTATCCCAATTTCTCATAAATATAAATGAATATCATATCATAATAAATGAACAGATGTACAAATCGCGATTTTTAATTTATCCATCTGCCTACGATCGCAATATTATTTATATTGTGATTTGAGTAAATTCCTTCTGATATCGTCTTCGAAGTAATTTTTCCTAAATAAACTCTGGTCTTATGAATTATGAAGAAGCGATGCATATATTTATTATTTACCCCCTAATTCAACTTCTGGCGATAACAGTCCACCAGACGAACTTCTTCTAGTTATTGAGGCGCCAGCTGTATCAGTTTCACTAGTTTCTATCGATGGAGTATTCCCGATTGTACTAGAAAGATGTAAATAAACAATAACATATTAATTTTATGTTTTTTTTTATATCATGTAATACTTTTGAATTATCAAAATGATAAAATTTTAATATTTATTATTATTTATTGATATTGCTAATACCAGCTAATTATTAATATTAGCTATTACTAATAATACCATCGCTTGTACGAAACATAAAAATCTGGAATAAATAAGACGTATAAAAAACTACTAGGCTATACATATATTGAGATGCTACGCAGCATATACATTTAATAGCAAAAGATGCGGATGACAGCATAATTACGGATATTTTTTTATACAAAACACAAGCAGTTTAAAGACAGTAATTAAGCATTTTGCACATTTAATATTGATGATATATGATTACGTAAAAAATTTCTATACAATTGATGTTTACGTAATCGTAATAGAATGTAACCAACAAAACAAATGTTCCTTTAATTGCACTTTGCTTGCGTATAAACAATTTACGAAGGTAGAACCATACCTGTTAAAAGAGAGGGTTGAAGTAGGCATGCTGATGGGGGACAATAGGTGGGCCGGACTGCGTTCCCTCAATGGACTTGACTTCGTTAACCCTCCACTAAATTTAACATTTTATAATTACAATTCGCAACGTGCACTCACATAAAAGAATACTATCTCTTGTGCCGTACTCTTTGTAGAATGTTGCAATTTGGATATAGCATTTTTAATACATTAATTAAAAGATATATGATATGGTTATTTAAAATTTGATAATAATTAAGTAAAAATATATGTGTAAATCACGCTATAATACATAACGTAGCAATACACAATTTAAATTTGTTATTTCTTGATAATATTGTCATATGAAAGCAAATTGCATTTCCTTTTCTCTCGATGCTGATCTAACAATTACTAAGCAACATAAAAAATGAATTTGACATCAAAACTACTTGATACAAATGAACTAAATCAAATGAAAGTACAATATAAAAAACAAAGGCGAGAACGCCACAGACTTACAAAAATGCTCACACAAAACACATTATAACAAAGGTTTCATGATAAAAAAAATTTTAGAATACCTATCATCCGATTGAGACATTATAGGTGTGGCAGAGACAATATGATTATTATTTGTTTTATCGCATTTCCCCAAACGTTCCAATCTGTCTGCAGGAACCGATATACTTCTACTGAAATCTGGCGGTGCGACTAATCTGCTGCTCTTCTTTTTCCTATAATAAATAAACATTTTATTTATGAGTGTAAGAATTTATAAAATTCTGTAGTATATATACAACTTTAAATAAGTTTATATACTCATTAAGAAATGGGTCCTCCAGCAGCTCTGCCGCGGTTGCTCTTATATCAGGGTTCGGCTCAAAACAACGTAGTATAAAACCTTTTGCTCTCTCGGATAACTCTGACGGTATCTCAGGATGTATCTTGTAATATCCCACCTAAGAAAAGAAGCATATACACATCCGACTTTAGATAAGTTTAGCAATTCAGTGTTTAAAATGTTGTATCGTTAACATTTTAGATTTACTTTGAAAACAGCTGCTTGTGGAGAACCCAGTTCAATGAATGGAGGCTTTCCGGTGGCCATCTCAACTATCGTGCAACCTAAAGACCAAATATCCGCCTAGAAAAAGATTGAATAATTATTATTGTGATGACACAAGGAAACATGTCTTTATCCTATGAATATCCTCAATACAAAGCATTTAACCAAACATAAACTCACAGGCGCACCATAACCACGTTGACCCTTGTCAATAACTTCTGGCGCCATGTACTGTAACGTTCCAGTAAATGTTTCTGTACTCGGGCACAAGCCGGCCAAACGTTTAGACATACCGAAATCAGAAATCTTTACGACTCCACTGTATGTATTTACCAATACGTTATCACCTAAATCATATGTTTAACTTTAGTTTCGTGTGAAAATAATTATAAAGACAAGAATACTATTTACTTTAACAAACAAGCGTAAAATTCATGCTGTCTCTATGAATTACCTTTTATATCTCTATGAACTATTTTTTGGTCATGAAGATATTTAAGGCCCTCCAACATCTGTTTAGTATAATATGAGATGGTCGACTCGTTCTCTTTCAAAGGACCCCATTTCGATCTCAGCAACGCTGATAAACTTCCTGAAAATTTATGAGAAATTATGAATATATTTGTAAATGCTATTTTTAAATGTTGTGCTTTACGCTTTCCTTACCTCCAGGAACTTGCTCCATAAAGATTTTGAAATATCCATCCTCGCTCACTGAGCCCAAATATTGGACGATATTTCTGTGCCTCAACTGATTGTGTAATTTGATCTCTTCATGAAGAGGCTGTACGTCACCCAAATTCCGTTCACGAATTTCTTTCACCGCAATCCTGACTTGCGTGTTTAAATCGCGCGCTGCATACACCACGCCGTATGTACCTTTACCGAGAATTATGCGCTTATTTTGATCGTCCAATTCATACTCGAACTATAAAAAAAATACACAAATATCATTAAAAAATTAAAAATTATATACACGTGTCATTGATAAAAACGATATTAAAAATTGATAAAGACCTTCATGCGATCATCGGTCATGTAAGCATCCAAATCCGTAACCATGCCCTCTTGATCTCTAGTCATTTCTAAGATCAAGTCGTAAAATCTTTGCCTACATTGCACTGACGGTAGGTACATTTGAAAGTCATCCGAGTTTTGATGAACGTACAGAAAAAGACATCTCTCGTCCCTCTTATACAGGCTTACGCTGCGTATCATGTTTGCAGTGAACAACCAATCGTGTACTTGCTTGCAATTGTTCCTCATATTATCCAGACACAAATTCCATATTTGTATGGACTTCTCCTCCGCGCCGAGATTCACGTTTACATAACTCGGCATCAAAATCTTGGTCGGTTCCAGCACTAAAATCTAACAAAGATATTGCGATGCGTTAAGCGTTTTTATTGGTAAGATTACATTAAAGTGGGAAGTTGATTCTTAAGAGTGAATCCATAAATCTGCACTAAGAGCAGTTTTATATTATTCTTACTTTGACCCAAAATGTACAGAAGTAAGCTGGATTGGTAACACATAACTATAAGCCATAATTCTCCCGAAACTTGGAAACTGGATCCTCAGTAGAACGATTCCATTTATCAACTTACTGGAAACCGTATACTATCGCCAACCTCCGGCTTTGTAGCTTCAACAAAGTAGTCCATCCAGAAACTAAATATTTGTTCCTCCGGTGCAACTTCAGCTTCCTCATTTTTTTTACGGAACCTATCTATCAGTGATATGTTGCCAATTGTCGATTTCAGATACCTAAAAATTAGATTAATTATTTGAAATAAGTTCTAAATAATACATATACTTTCATCTACATTCTAAACATACTGTCGCTTACTGAATAAACGTCTAAATTTTATTTACACCTACCAATTCGGTGGCTTCAATTTAAACATACACTCAGCTGCTTGTATGGCTTTCGAATAATCTTCCGCTAATACGCTAATTTCAAAAAATGTTGCTACGTCCCAATAATCCTTCAAGCTCGGTAAACTGCCCTTCTTGCCGATTAAGTTATTCAACACCATTCCTATGTGCTGTAATTCCTCACTTTTAGAGAACTCATTTCCAGCTATGACCAATAAAGTAGCAAGATTTATACCGGCGTATTCGTTAGGCTGAACCTATACATATAACAATAACAATATATACGTGCACCGACAGAGCTGCTTCCGACAATGGAGAAACGATTTATACTGTACCTCAAAACCTTTTCTGTACCAGTGGATCGCATTCTTTAAACTCTCCTGATCTGTATGTCTGCTTTCGACAAATATGTCTTTATATATTCTCCCGCATAAACACAACATATCAGGAACATGATTTTCCTTTTTTTCAAGCGCTTTCTCGATAACCTTTAACGCTCTTTCCCGATCGCCCTCTTTGTTTCGCCGATTTAAAGCAAACGCGTATAAATATCTTATAGCTGGAGTATTTATATAATTCTTGTGAGTCGGTATAGTTCTCAAATCGTCAACCAGTTGCACCATTGCATCGTAATCCTAATCATTTTAAAGCAAAAAAATAGTAAATGTATATATGTTTCTAACAGTACAATTTCCATTGGAAAGTAATATTAATTCGTCATTATTTTACCTGTATTTCCCGGAATGAAATGAGGACGTTTAATACAACTTCTCCCGACAGTACGTTTGGATCATCTAAACGCTTGCGCATGTTATTCAGAGCTCTGGACAGTTCTTCTCCAGAGTATGTCTCACGCGCTTTGCGCAGATCTGCCAGAAATTTCTCCTTCATATGTGCTCTGAAAATTTTAATAAAATTATATTAAAATATTAAAAATGTCTATTTCTTTTACTTCTCGATAGGATAACGACTAAAAATTAAAATTTTTACTTGTATTAAAGGAGTTTTATATTTGCTTACTTGGATTGTATTTCCACATCCTGAAACAATTTCTTGAGTTTCAAAGTGAGGTGCTGTTTTGGATCTATTGTTTCTTCACCCGTGATTCTGCTGGTTGCTGGATTAGTAGCTACACATGATCCGCACGATTCCACAACGCGATACGAAACAAATGTGTAGCTGCCACAGGACAACTGCATAAAAAAAATTCTATAGAAACTAGTTTCATAAAAATACTGTATACGGCTGTGATTAAAAAAAAAATTATAAACGCTCACTAAGAAAAATAATAAGTGAAATCACGCAAAAAAATCATTTACATTTCACAAAATTCTTTAAGTATTAACAATCTGCGGACTTAATGACAGAATTTAACTTTCAATTTTTCATTATTCACAATCCATTAATTTATCCATTATTTATCCTATATTTTTATATTATTTTTAACACACGCACTTCAACATCAACTTCTTTCTCGAGCTCGTACAATCGTATGTGATCATGCACAGTTGCGCGCAATCGACTAGTATCAACTACTATATTGAGTAACTGCTATATTGAGAGCATGAGCTCACGTTTTTCTACTCCATATTAAGCGGAATTACATATTTGGTGCTTGCCTAACAGGCAGAGAGACGTCGTTTTATCTGATGGTACCGATTATGTTTAACCCGCGGCAGTCTGACGTCGAACACCGTTCCGCGCGCAACACGTTCTAATCATCGACCACAGCAGAAATACAGGTCTTCTCGAAACGACCTCGACAAAAGTCTCGCGGGGAAATTACATCAGCAAGCATAAAGTAATTACATTAATAGCTAGTGATAGATTAAATTAAGAATTCAGACAGCTATTAAAGTACCTAAATCAACAAGATTAAATTACTCGTGAGAAATGCGTAATAGCAACTGAAATTGTAAAAGCTAATACTTTTTAACTACTTCCATTTAATCGTTTTGTATTGTATAAATTAAATAAGGTACATGTTTTCGGAGACAGATATTGAAATGAAATCTTTTACGTATTACAAATAGTTCCTTCATGCGAGACAGAAAATTACTGGATGGATATCTTCTCGATATCAAGGGTACTGGAATACTGAAACTGTTTGATATGCTATGAAGTGCATACAGTGTATGTGTGTGTCTCTTGCGCCCCGAGCGATCTATTTATGAGAGCATTAATTGAGATCATTGCTATAAAGTGCATCCTAAGTCTAACAAACGGCCAAGGTCACTTGTGCCTTACTAGTACTGCTACATATTACGTTTAGCGTTTCGCAATGAATCTACGAGACTTTTATTCGCATTTACATTCTAAAAGCGATGAAGAATATGAATGTACGTGGTGTACGTTGTACATACATACCTTAAGTCTAATTGTAGCTTCCGTGTCTATGTCATTGTACAGCAAAATATTTTCCTTCATTCCGAAACTCTCCCTGATACCGAGATGATAAAACAGCGCAGATTGTTGCAACTGTATACTTAGATCCACAATCGCCACATCAGCGTTATAGAATGTGTCCAGTACGTTAGTTTCGCCAAAATCGAGTTTCTCAAACTGCAAAACAAAAAAAAAATGAAAAATTGAAAGGAGACCGAAGCATTCTTCACTCTCTTTTGTGACTCTCTTTTTGTGACTTTTGTATCTTTAGTTATTTTTAGCTTTAAGTAGAATATATATAGAAAATATCAAGATTATCTAGCACTTGACTTTTGATAAACAAAAAACTTGTTTTGAAGCCGATAAGACTGATGTGTTGCAACAGTTTGTTTCTTACTTTTATCGCTTTTATCTTTACTCAGAGCTTTATTGAAAAAAAATGTACATGTTTTGCCATCCTGCTGTTATTTAAACAGCTGATTCGTGGGAAAGCTATTGTATGTACCTGTATATGATGTATGTTGGCATTGACCAAATTGCAGGCCTGTCTAACTTCGTCTAGCGCTTTCTTTCGTTGAGCGAGATGTTCCGATTGTTGCAAATCCAAGACGCAGGCCACGTCCATTCTGGGCCTCCCTGGCACCGTCGTGTGTCCCGATATGTCACTCTGCGTTCCCACGCTATCCGTACTGGAGATGCCTTCCATATTGCCCGATTGCGAGGCAGCTGCGCAAGATCATTCTTTATATACCGAAAGTATTTACACAAGTGCTATCTACCTACTATCCGGAGAAACGATATTACACGTAGGTACGACAACAGCGTGTATGATTGTATAGAAAAAAACATATGACTTACCAGCTGTGTCGATCATGTCGCCGCAAACAGAAGGCATGTTGTTTCGTACTCCACTCGCCTGACTACGCGCGACCGGGGCACTACCCTCGTACTCCTTCTCTCGTAGAACAACCCCGCTGAGAAACCGAATGTCAAACGCTACGTCCCAACTGACATGCCACCGAGAGCACTAGCAGTGTCGCGTTTCGCACCTCCACGGGAAAACAATTAACAATGCGTAAATGTCATTACCTCGCGGGACACCAGTCTCTCGTGCAGCCGCCGATCAGGCTCAGCTCGGGATCGAACGTGCGACGAACGTCACCGTTGTCGCCCCTCGAGGAAGTCATTGCTCTCCGTCCCGCGACGGGGCCACCGCGCGAAGGTGAAGCTGCGAAGCGAGGAACACGCAAACAGCATCCGACCGCGCGTCCACTGGCAGCGATAAATATATATATGGCACTCGGTCTAGCTGGCGCTTCGCGGAACTCGACCGCGGAACCCGGGCGATTAATCGGCGCGACGTAGCGAACGCACGCAGCAAGGGATATCTCTCGTCGTCGCGCGCATCGTTCGTTTCAGGAATCGCGACGTTCACTCCTTCCGGAGCACGCAGTCACAAAACCCGGGTCCGAACTCCGAGGTCGAGGAGGTGCGCGTGGCGAGGAGACCGAGGGGCGAGGGAGGAGTAGCCGAGCTCCGTCCGCTCTCTCCGCGAAGAAGCGTTTCGTGTCGCTTCACAGATGGCGGCGAGATCAGAGCTCCGCCGGTATAAAAATAGACGTTCTCAAGATACCGCGAATCGTTCCGGCCGTACGAAACTCGGCCGTTATACAGAAGCGCGCCCGAGCAGTAAATCATTCGGATACGCGGATACTTATTGAGAAGCGACGGGACGTGGGGAGAGGGAAGGAGAGGCGGATGCCGTTGCTTCACCTTGGCAAGAATATCAATATAAATCATGTTTTATATATACCATGGTATAAATGGTATAACGTATGTTTATTTGTAGCATTTGTAGTTTAGTTAATTATACACTCCGACGAATGTATATAATTATCGCACGTGTAAAAGACCGCGCTGCACGTGCCAGATTCCCGTCGAGACCGCCGTCGATCGCCTTATTAACGCAATCATTCGGGTCAATCGAAGGTCCTTGGCATACGCGTTTGCAGACGTAATCGAGAGACGTTGAACATGCCGCGGCGCGGCATATTATTAATTATTATATGTATAAATCCATGCTGTCAGCCTCAATTACTTGGGTATACGTTTAATATGCGAACGATCTTTTTAAAGAGAGAGAAAGAGAGAATGTACACTTTTACAATCTCATTTCGGAAACACGCTACGCATCATTTCTATAGCTGCAGCCGAGTGTAGCCGGAAGAAAAAATCGGAAATTAGAGAACGATTATTATTTTTTATTTAATTGAAGATCGTAAAAGTTGTGATAGCGATTTGCAAATTAATATTATAAATTTGGCATTTAATGGATTAAATTTTGCATGGCCAAGAAGAATCCCGCAGCCGACCAAGCACACACAAATTGTTCTCCTTGATAAATGAGTCTTAAATCTTAGCTATAATAGGAATCCTAAATCGAAAAGTGCGTGCATAAAGTACGCAAAGCTGTTGTAGACATATTGATCGCTAAGATAGAGTAAAAAAAGCAAAAAGAAGGTAACAGTAACATATTTTTCTATACGATCTATGAGGCCACAATTATGCTGCGATTCCCAATCTGCAGAATTCAAAATTAATGTAATTTTTGATGATTTAATTTTCCGTAAATTTATTATATATTATACAAAAGATTTTTTTAGTGCTTTCAATATATTTATAAATATTTTAGAAAATCATTTTTTATTGAACAAATAAAATCGTCACGCATCTGCGACTGATCTTATGCAAAGGAAAAAGATATTTGTTATTCAACAAGTTAACAAGCTAATCAAAGATCATGTTTCGATATACATTGCTAGTACTGAAACTCTGTAGTTGATATTACATTACGAATTCAGTACTGCGGCAGAGGATATATAGGAACACGGCCAAAGCCGTCGATTCCGTCCTCATCCGGTTTCGTTATATACCCGATGACCTTACGTTACGCACGATAAAAGTCCTCTCTAGGGTGTCGCCAAGGCAACGAGTAACCATGGCGATTTGTCGATCGACTAGAGTCGACCGTTCACCGTTCATCGGGAGATCATGAACGCCGAGATAGTCGGCGCGCGACGGCTCGAAGGAAAAGGAGGATAACGCACGCGAGTTTGTAGGTCATTCGCATTCGGTCGAGTCGGGTGCTACAGCACGGAGCACCGTGGAAACGTACCAATGAACTCCACGCGAATAGGTTATCAGGAACATGAAAGAGTCGTACCGTCTATCTCGCTGGATGCGACGCGCGTAACCATTCGGACTGTCCCCCTTGCACGTATGTACGTGCACGCAATCGAATCACTTGTCTGTGTTAAAGTAGACAGCTATATACATATAATGTATAGCTTCGCTCGTCGCTTATAGCTCGGATCCGAAGCGTCTCTTATCGCTCACTCGATTGCGAAGCGAGCGTGTCGCGCGGATCCACGATATAGTGGTCCTCGAGAGTACACGAAAGAGGGGAAACGCGCGAAACGAAACGTCTCATTTAGAAATACCGCTCTCTCAATATTAAGAACTAATCTTCCTCACTTCAAATTACATGTCAAATAATTCGCTTAATCTCTTCGCGCGGGTCAAGAATCTCTCTCGGGATTTCTGACGGGGTCTACAGTGACCGTTCGTTTGGAACGAGTCGCACGGGTTCGGATCCGCCGTGGAGCCGCGGGGAAAGAGAGTGGCGGAGAGAATGGGTTGAGAGTCGAGAGATCCGCGACCCGCGGGCGCGTTCGTACGCGCCCGCGGCATGCGAGTGCGAGTGCGTGGAAGGATAGTGGGGCGCAGTGATGCGCGGAGCGGCCACTCCGCAGCGCTCCCCTTTCAAGAGGAGCGCATAAGACGGCGGGAGGCAGGTCGACGAGGCCCGCGCGGTGCGGACCGTGAGCGCGAGGCGCGGCGCGGTCTCGAGATCGGCTCCTCGGCGTGATGCCGCCCTGTGCCAGGGGGTCCCCAAGAACTGGCCTGCTCCATCATATCGATTATCGGTTTCCATCGGGGCCGGCGCGCGACGAGACATTGGCTGCGAGTCGCAAGGAGGAGTGGAGTGATATCAAAATCCGCACCCACGAGGGAAAAGGGAGATGACACGAGAAGATGACATTGTCGTCCTGTGATTCTGCAAGTGTCGCGGCACCCGGCTTGCGTTTATCTTCCTCCTTCAGACTTTTGAGACTTCCTCTAAAATCTAAATATTACGTTGTTGTAGTAATGTAGTATAATAAATTTGATTACGCGAATCACGTGTTTTTTTTTTCACGTGTTATACTGATATCCAGCCACGTGACTTTCTGACAGTATGAAGAAAAAGGAGGAATAAATAGGTGGATTACAAAAAAAAAATGCGAAGGTCGAGATAGTAACTCCGTCAATGTTTTTCGGAGCGAGGCTCGTGAGAAGACGCGATAATTATACGGAGTCAAAAAAATTAATTTAGTTTCAGCTCGCGCTAAAACGCGCCTTTACACACTCGCCTACGTTTGCACGCGTCGTATTCATAACGAGCTGTTTGCCAAATTCGCGTAAATATGTATGAATTTTATGAGAGATGATTGATCGGAAAACGCGGTGAGAGAGAAAAAGAGATAAGAAATAATCCGTACGCCTCGCCTACGAGTAATTTGTGGATCACGAACGATTGCGAAGATAGCATATCAGCAAGCTCAGCATAAATCGAAGGTTCTAATTAATTATCGAAATAATATTAGTTATCTGTAACGTTACAGCAATATTTCTCTCGCTTTTAGATTTGTAAAATATATACTGCATCGTACTTAAAATTCTTCGTTAAAGCTCACACATTTTGACATATTTTATATTATATGCGCAATTCTATTATTTTCCCTGACTGCGACAACGAACGTCCCTCATCATTTCGTTCACGGCGCGGGAAGTGGAGCGGAGGAGCCCGTCGGCCGTGTGTTAGGTGTACGCGCGACGACGGGAAGAGAGAGGGGGGAAAAAAAACGGAGCGGTGTGATTTCGGATCGGCGGGAACCGGCGTGTTCCGTCTTAGGATGCTCGCCTGATCCTCGGGGAGCCTCGCGGTGTAGAAACCGGTCAAGGAATGCGTGTAACGCGTGTACGTACACGTCACGCCCACTCGTCGTCCCCTCGTCACGTACGAGGCCTCGACGGCGTTCGCATATACGCGCTCCGCTTTGCTGCCTGCGCGCGTGTTGCGCGTGTTCCACTGTCGTCGCGCCGCCGCGCGTATATACACATCGGCGCGTATACGTACGTGCCGCCGTGATCTAGAGCGTGTGCGGGTCTGCGGGACCGACCGACGGCGAACGTGACGCGCGCGCGAACCCCGGAGACCCGGAGGAGAACGTGCACGTGCGCCTCCGCGTGCGCGCGCTCGTGTACCGACACGGAACACGCGGCTGAAGACGATTGTCGGGAGCCGAGCGAGCTGCCAGGAAACTAGCAAGAGCGACAAGACTCGCTCTAGGAATATCGCGGCGGGAGAGAATAGTTTGGCTCGGGATCTCTCTACTTAAGAGGTGCAGGTTATCTCTATACTCGAGATAAAATAGAAGCTTCAGAGCTCTCTTGATGCACTTGTCGTATATATTGATTTCTTCGTAAAATTACATTTTGTGTCGGATACACTCACGTTAGATTAGAAGTGAAACGCGCTAAAATTAAGGCTACAAAATAGTGAACGCGTCTAACATTTATGCGTTCATTTACGTAATTTCTCCCGCGCAACAATTATATACTTGATGGCTTCTAATCATGAAAAAAAATGATAAAACTTTATTCCTTTCGAAAACACTAAACATATATATGGTTAAATATTTTTAACAAATTAATTCATGTTACGATGCGCATATCCATTTAAAAGGTCATCTCGTTACGCAAAAAAAAAACAGTTCTTTCTAACGGCGATAAAAAAGTGTAAATTTTTTACATTATTTTCCAAGAAGAATCTTTCTCGTAGCCCCAAAGTTTTGCCCGGCTTGTGTAGCTCCCTTGTTGGTACCAGCTTGCAAACCGATGAGTCCCTCGCCAGCCCTTAGCTGCTCCTCCGTGAAGCTTCTCTTGTTCTCCTCGGATGGTTTCGGGCCCAGCCAGGGTCCGCGCCATTCCGGGTGCTTATATGTCTGTAATTTGCATTAAAAAATGTATACATCTTCTTCTCTAATTATTTTGATATGTATTTTTTTTTCTAATTATCTAATTATTTATGGTTAAGAAGGTAATATATTTGTAAAGTGCATGCTTAACTAATAAGTGTTATTTACTCCTTTAAATTCATAAACCAAATCCTGGAAATTTGTCATATATGTATGTATATTTATAAAAAAAATCCTCAGAGGAATCTTCAAATTTTTCGAATACTGTGAAATATTAATTTAATATAAAAGTAATAAATTAACGTGAGATTGTCGTTAATTATTTACCGTTCGTCCAATGGCAAAGATGGTGTTTGTCACTTGAGCGATATTTTTACGTTCGATCAGATCGACAGCTTGGAAGAGATCTACGTCAGGTACTCCGTATTTTACGCAGGCTTTTTGGAACCTGGAAAAGAAATTGAAAAAAAATTGCGTAATTTCGCGCGTTCAATTTATTAAGTAATTAATTAGCGGAATATTTCTAAAAATCAGTGCGGAAGCACTGAGACATCGGAGAATCTCTCTTCGATGAGTAGGAGGAGTCGTGGGAGCCATGTCGAGAACGACGGCAAGTCGGGGAGGACAAAGACGGGGGAGAAACAAAAGAGAAGCACACCACGTCCAACTCCTTTATACGGCTGTTTGCCTGGGCGTCGTCTTGAGCTAGTGACGCGCTTCTATTGTTCAGTCGCTAATTATCGCCGCTCGGTAATTAACGGGTTGCGCAGCCCCTCCAGGCTGATGGCAGTACGGCAGGGCGGTGGTGGTCTTTGTTTCTCCGCGCCGCAGAAATGACGTGTCGCGTGTGCCCGTTTAACAGGATAGCAGAATCATCCTCCATTTCCGACGTCGAAGACGACATAGGCCTCCCCGTCAATTACGCTCATCGCATACATGTCATTCCGTAATATATCATCCCGCTCGCGAGACGACATGCGCATGAAAAATACGAGGTAACTTATAGATTCGCGTAATTTAGATTATTCTCCGCACACGCTTACTATTATAATCTCTATAATTGATGATGTTTTACCGGAAAAACGATTTTGATCTTTCAATCTATGTATCTATGTATAAATATCGCGCTTGCAGAATGAAGGGAATCTGTTTGAGCCTTAGAGACAGCCTGGAATGTTTTCAGCTTCGCGCCGGATGAACGTGTAAAGGCGATACTATTTGTAGTTCGAGAAAGTGTCTGACATGTGGGAAATATTTGGCATACGCCAAACATACCGCCGCGTATGTTCCAGCCTGCTCACTTTGATGTGTTCCTGTCGCTCGACGCGTCTTCCGCATATGAGGCACTGAATAACGAAACGATTTATCGCGCGCGACGGGTGTCGCATGTTAAATCAATTCATGGAACGGAGAGAGAGAGAGAGACTTGAGACCTTCTTAAATGAAACTTCAACCTTTTCTCGACGAGAGCGGAAGAGTATAATATTCAAAATACATCTTTATAATATGCCTTACGTAGTACGCCTTTGTAACACGGTTCTCTATTATATAGGAAAAGAAAGAGAGAGAAATCTTTAACAGAGCGGAAAATATCGAATTTTATGTATAGCGAATCCAAATAGATTTAATAATTATATATTCAATTATATATTTAAAAATACATATTTACGTATATGTATAATAATATAAATATATCGTTTATATTTATATAATAATCTCGAATATATATCGATATATAATCATATATTAATTATACATATTACATGACTACCATAAATAATATAAAAATTGTAAGATTTTCTATGTCTCGTGTGGGATTCATGTGGGAAGAAAAGCGCGAGGGGAAAAAAAGAGACAATTTACGAATGGACATTATTGTCGTTTCCACAGCTCGTACTTTTTCGCCAGAATCGGCATATCGATCAAGCGTATACCGCGACCTGTTGCATCGTCGAGCGGAGAGCGTGAGGCAGGTCAGTGCTCACGAGCAGTCCGTTTATCAGAGTCGCATGAGGGGACCTCGGGCTCGCGTCGCGGCACGCGGCGAGAGAAATCCCTCCTCGCCGTGCAGCGCGGTGTGCAGTACGCGTGATCTTACGCGTTCCGCGAAGACGCGACGCGCGGTAGGTGGGATCGCGCGGCCGCGCCAGCGGTGACGGCGGTGGCGGTGGCGGTGGCGGCGGTGGTGGCGGCGGTGGCGGCGGCGGCGGCCACATATCCACCTTCGCCGGGATCATACTGCTCGCGTAGAAAGGGAGTAACGCGGAGTGGCCGCGCTGCGCATCGTTCGCCCCACTACCTCGGGGACGCGCTCTTAAACATTCAAAACGCGCCAAACGCCGAAGAAGCGCGACATGCGCACGGCAATGCGCCCGACGGCGACGGCGACGAGACGCGCGAGACGGTGCTTGGGACGTGCGCGACGCGTCCGAGAGACGCGCGAGAGATGGACGGGACGCGCGCGTCCCTCCCGGGGAAGGAGGCAGCCGAGGTGGCCGCGAGTACACCCACGGCCGGAAGAGAGAAGATATCGTCACGTCCGCGAAAAGTGCGCCCGACGCGCGCATCCGCTATCCGCCAGCGCAAGGGGGCAATCCCTTTTATCCCGAGCGATAGCAAAGAGGAAGGATACGGAAAAGCGCAGTTTTTACGAGCCACCCGAGTAAAACGCTTCTTTTTGCACTGTCCTAAAATCACCTCCTCGCAGGCAAATACTTCATCAGGATTGTAGCAATGTGCTACAGGCGTTCGACTCGGATACCCTATTTTCGGGTTGCGACTTACCTATACGTCGCAGATATATATATATCGTCCCAAGCAATATATACATATATACATATATATATATATATATATATATATATATATATATATATATTATTGCCTATATCGTTGTTGCGAAAACGAGCAATGCAATAATATGAAAATCTTGAAAATAAAACAACATTTAAGTACAAGCCTGGGAAGAAGTGACAAGTTTTATGAGACGGATTTTATGAGACACGGAGAACTACGACTGATGATCATCAAAAATTCCTTCGACGAGCTTTTTAATGAAAATTCGATTTTCTAAACTGACTCGATTACTCACTCGATTAATTTGCAATGTATATTGCACTGATTTATATGCGTAATTCGAAGAATATTAATATATCGAAGAAGAGTGCGAGAAGCGTGATATAACGACGCAAAGAGTGACGGCCTTCTCTCTTCCGCGCGTTCGGTAACACGGCTACGCTACGTGTCTACATATATCTATCGGCGTTTTCACTTTCATCGCGCTCCAATGTATAGTCGATGGTCCCGACCTCAGACTTTGTCGGTTCTCGGCTGCCAGGCGAGCAGGACGCACCAGGAGCCGCGGGTCCGCCGTCGCCGGGGCGTTTCGCGCCCAATCGCACCGGTCCGGGGGGCGATATTGCGCGACTCTCGAAACCTCGGGCCGAGTCGCGCGAGGGTCAACAATCTCTCGACTCGCGACGACGGTCGTTGATCGGCGTTGTCGATACTCCGCAGTCGAGGAATTGACGCAAAACACTGTCGATTGCGTAAAGTCGACGGCGGATTAGGGAATCATGAACGCGCAGAAGGCGCGTCGTCGAAGAAGCGGGACACCTCGCAGCGAGAGAATTGCTTATCTGCATCGCGTCACGCTAGCGAAACGTCTTACGTTAGAAAAGCGAATATTGAAACTTAATAAGCCAATAAAATCCGATAGATATAAATACATTAATGATTAGAAATACAAATAAATTAAATAATCAATTTGATAATTCTATATTATTGATCTCTCTCTCTCTCTCTCTCTCTCTCTCTCTCTCTCTCTCTCTCTCTCTCTTAGAAAAATCTAATTATATTGACAAGACATTTATAGGGAAATTAATATTATCACATCTAATCTTAAACTTAAATAAATATTATAATTATTCAGAGAAAATTTAAAGCAGTTATTTCTTACATAATAGTGTTGCTCACTCTTTAACTAATTGTTCATATTTTCTTTCATGTCTACTGTTTTAAATTTATTGAAACGTGATACTCACTGATTAAGGTTGTCCATCATTTTGTAATCTCCACCGGATGTATTGACTTTGGAGATCAGACCGGGCTGCAATTTATTCATGAGCATGCAGAGTAGAACACCATCCCTCAGAGCATCTTCATAACTTACGCCTGTAAAAAGCACGCGAATATATACGTTAAATTTTATCGTTTAAAATAAGTATAATCTTAGCAACTAAAAGACAAAGGGTAATTAGGGTAGGGTAAACAAGATAGACAAATGGTTTATATGACACGTGATACAATCTTTCGATTTAATTATGCCACAATCTAAATCATTTAATTATTGTCATAATCTAAAGTAGATAATAAATGTCGTTTTCCTGTTTAATCGCGATCAAATGCGTGCAAGATATTCTTCAAGAAAGATCTCTATAACAAAAATATCGAGGGAACGATCAGTGTGCCTTATTTGCATTTTACACTGTGAATTAAGTAAGAATTTTTTAACACAGAAAATGAATAAAAAAATATTGATTTTTTGAAATAATATAATATTGTATGAGTGTTCATATCAATAGGACAAAAAATGCGGAATAAATAAACGGAATATTACGGATATCTTTTTTTACTAATTATTATAGATTAAATGAATAAATAAAACATTAAGATTTTTTGTAATGCTATTTTATTAATAAAAACGCATTAGTTTTAAATGCATTTTGTCCATTCATTATTTTCTTCTTCGGTATTTTCATCAATTCTTGAAGATATATTTATCTGATGGAATCAAGTACTTTCCTATATTTCTTCTTATCCAAATTGTGTTATAAGTATAATCACAAATACTACATTTTGTCTCATTATCTTCTATCTTGACCTCTATATTACCATCCAGTTATATGCTATACGCGGCTGATTTTTTTTTAATGTATGTTTTTTATTTTTATTTTTAACATTTGTATGCATTTCATGTACCCTTTTCAAATGTGTAATAAAATAATATTCTGTATCAAAAGTTTTATTACAAAACTTACATTGTACCGTATATTCTCCTAAATACGAGCTCAAATGATCGTGTTTTATTCTTTTTATATTTATATTTATATTTGCGTTATGAAATTTGGTATCTTTTCTGAACGTTTTCTTCTCAAGTGGGCTAATGAATTCCTTGAGGAAGCTACAGTCATACTACAAATGTTGCATTTTATATGTCTTCCACAATCCATGCTATAATATTGTCCAGCTAGCATATCTTCTTTTTTCGTATTTGTTAATAACTATTTTATGACGGTTTAAATGTAATCTTAAAATCTTCCCGTCAAGTAAATAAATTTTCTTACAAATTTTGCATTTCACCTTAAAATTCTCTAATATAGTATAATGGTCTATTATTAAAGAACTAATACTCGCACTCTGCATTGCCATTGTATCCTCTCAGCGTTACAGGCTCTGTTACTAAATACGGCACGGTACCAAGAAGATTATTTTACGAAGAAATGTCGAGCAGCGTGCTCAAGAAAGGTCAAAAGGAGATGCGTGATGCTTTGCCAGAATGTAAATATTGTTATTATAGTCAAATTATACGACATGTATACGACAGTCTCTTCGAAACTTAATCATAATTGTGTCACAATATAATCTAATAGATAATAAATGATCTTCTCGATTAATCGCGATCACAGATCGCGCGCAAAACATTCCTCAATGAAGATTTCTATAGTACAGATATACAAGGGAAAGATCTAAAATCTCATCAGTGTGTTTTATTTTTGCATTTTGCTCATTAATGATAGCCGTTGCGGCTATCGGCCGCATTTACATGGAGAAAGCCTCGAGAGAAAAGGAGAGCGATTTCGCCCGATGGCGAAAAGAATGTTGATGACCACGGCGGCACCAGGATCGCAGAAGCGACGTCCTCCCCTTCCCGCGACCGTCGCCGAAAACCGCGCGCGGTTCCCGGGGGGGATGGGAGGGCCAGGGGCTTGCGCGATAGAGCCGGAGCGAGACAATCGAGTTTTGGCTCTCGCGCGGTGGATTCCGGGACGCGGCGTTTTATCAACGTCGAACTCGCCACGTGCTTTCCCTGCCACCGGCCATTTTTTCGCTCGATACACCGCGCGCTGAGTGGAAGCTCCCCTTCTCCATCATCCGTCCTCCCCCTTCCTCGTCGCGACCCGCCCCTCGTCGGTGGGATCGAACGGATTCACCGCGAAATAATAACCGCGAACGACCGGGTCGGATGTGCAACCAGCGCTCGCTCATGGCGCCCCATTATGCCAAGAGGCGAGCCAAGGGGGCATGGCATTTTTTGTCACGTCGGACGAAGAATCAGGAAAGGCCGGCCGCGTCTTGCGGGTGCGCACACTTTTTGCTCGCTTTGATCGGCGGGCGCGACGCCGCCGCCTCGCCGCCGCCGCCGCCGCCGCCGTCGGCGTCTTCCCCGTCGGTAGCCGGCGGCCACTGGCGCGCCCGGGCGTCTCGCCGCGACGCGATGCGCGGCCCGTCGCCATTCGAAAGACACGACGCGTCTCGGACTCCTAGGGCAGCAGCCCGCTGCAAGAGCTGTGCGTACCGCGTCGCGCTGTCATTGCGTTTTTTTGTCGCTGCCTCCCTCCGCCCACCCCCACCCCCCACGTCAGCGATACAACCAGTGTATCGATGTATCCAATCTATCGGCGCGCGACGCTGCCGCCGCCCGCCGCCGCTGCCACCACCGCCGCCACCGCGCCGCTCCCACCAGCCATTGCCGCGGCAAATTGTATCGACGCGTGGCATCCCGAAGCAACAGTTGGCATAACTCCACCCTCCCCTCATTCTCGAGTTTTCCAATAATTACGAGAATAAGAACGGATTAACGTCAATCGCGTCAATGATGCGCATCTCCGATTCTCGTCTGTCGCATGTATCTCTAAATTAGCGAAAGCATGTGGATGCGGCGGAATCGCTAATATGGACCTCCGCGAGGTCTGAGTCTTGTCGAATCGAGATACAAAAGTATATGTATATCGTCACGCTCATCGCAATAATTCAGATAAGACGCGATAATAAAGCCTCGCTGATAACTTCGAATCTTCTTGTATAATTTGTTTTAAAAAAATACATTAACGTGGTGGAAACTGCGAAGCCAGAAATAATCCGATAAGAGTACGAGCGCTATATAGAAGAACAATTTCATTATAGGCTGAGTATATAAAAAACTGCGAGTAATGAGAAAGCTGCATGATTAATTTCGTTTGTTTTTCCCCTGGACGCATTACACTGTTCACACTGTTGCAACGATATATATTTACGCGAGAACATTAACATAATTTCTCACATCTATGGTTTCCTCTTGATATTATGTATTCTTTCTATGTTATAGTTTTAAATGTAGCATTTATAATATTCGAAGTACACTCTTGCAAGAACTCTTCAGAAAACTGAAAAATAAAATCCTTTTTTTATATTTCTAATCCGACAAAGAATATGTAATAACAAAGAGATGATTTTTAAGATACAGAAGCCTTTTCGCTGAATTTCGCGAGAAAATATTATATAACGAAAGATTTCGCAAGAATGTTTGTTTACGTAAAAAATCTCGATAAAAAAGCAATGATCTCAATATGCGACGAGCAAGGTGTTTGTCATTACGATTTGATAAAGAAATTTCTCGTTAATTATAAGAAATTTAGAGGATTTTCGGGCGGGAGGACACGCGCCAACTGTCTAAAAGACTACTAGCCTGATCCTGCAAGGACGAGGCGTCACGTGGTTTTGGTTTGGTGGGGATCGCGCTAAAACGCCTACCCCGAAATCTGCTCGCCTAGTACGCGGCTGGTCGTATACTTGAATTCTCGATTGACGAGCTATCGACAGGCGATTGGTTTCTGGATGGCCCGTTGCAATCTCGATCGGGGCTAATTATTGCGACGTTGAAAACGGCGACGGATCGTCGCTATCGAATTTCGACGCTGATCGAACTTGACATTTCCGAAGACGTGCACGTATCAGTTTTTTCCTTCCCGGAATGTCCCTCATGATCGTCTGAATTTAATTAACTATCCCGCTCTTTCGAGATAGTTTGGCGAGGGAATTGATCGGATAGAAGAACGAGACCTGTTGCTCGTTTTGTGTAGCGCAGACGGTTCGGTTGGTATCAGGGACATATTACGCGCTTCCGTCACGTTCGCGTTTCCGCTTCCCCCGAACCTCCCCGTTTCGCATCTCCACTCGAGTCTCGCGTTCTTCAGGAACCTTGTCCTTAGGGACCACACGACCACAGTCCCCTCATGGACCGGAACCGAACGTCAAATAGCGAGAGGATAATACAGAGAATAACTCGATATACATGCGTATGTATAATATAAACCAGAATACACAATTTATAATATATTTATGAATTGCAATTTGTTCTTCGTAAATGTATGCATCTAACGATATTATATTCTTACGAAAATCATGCATTAAATTTTATCGATATTACAGATAATTTTATTATTACATAATGCATGACGTTATGTCTTCTATGAATTTTACGAGAACGGTCAATCGATTATTCTAGGTAGAATTCTAATCTGGGGAAGAAAGCAATGTCCTCCCTTTTCTATTTAAAAAAATGAAGATGAACTTATATACGTTTTTAAAGCAAGTAATTTTAATTAACCAAAAATTCTTTTATAACAGTAAGCATCTCACTTATTTTACATGTTACAAAAAAATATTTTTTTTCTGATCCTCAAGATTTTTCATGTTAATATACGTCTTTCAGAAATCTTTAAGAATTTGAATTTCAGATCGAATTAAAAAAAAATCTTAAGACGCAAGGGAGATGGGCAAAGTGTTTCGCGACGTATAAGCGGAGGCGATACATTTTAATCTGTCCACGAGCGGGGCGAATTTGACGCTGTACGACGCCGCGGCTTTTCCACGATATCCAGGCAGCATCCGGCCGGCGTCCTCTTCGACAAACAAATGCGCGCCGGTGCGCGCGGGGCCGGCCGGCTGTCCCGCCGCCGCGCCGGGGGGATAAACAAGCGTGACATGCTGATAGGTTCCTGGTAGTGTCGAAACGCGGTGAGATGTCGTAAACCCGAGAAGATGACAGAAAATCGATAGCGGGCCGCCTTCGCGGGCCGCCCGTCGTCGCGGCATCGACGCCCGTCTTCGCCCATTTTTCTTCCCGGTCCACG